GAAGGAAAAATTAAAAAAAAAAAAAAAAAAAAAAAAAAAAAAAAAAAACAGTTACAAAGAGATGAAATGAGGCACTGGTGGCTTAAACTAAACTAATCGAAAGCAAAAGGATACCCACATAAGTATTGAGCTGGCGAACGAAGCTGGAGAAGTTGTTGTGCTTGAAATGGCGCGGCAAGACGATTCTAGCGAACTCCAGCGGGTCCCAGACGACGAAGGTGAAACCGGCGGAGCCCCAGGAGATAATCGGGTCGAGAGTCGGGTCATCGACGAGGTCGAAGGTCTTGGAGAGAAACGGCGGGACGGGGTTGAGCTCCAACGGTTTGGGAGAGTGATCGCGGCTAGGGTTCATTGTGAAGTGCGAGAAGCGTGAGGGATGGGGCTTTGGGGGGTGAGAAAAGCGTGTGCGATATTAAAAGCGTGTGAGGGCGGTGGAAGGTGGAGCTATGGCGGTGGCAGGGGAGGGCCATTGCACAGTGAGGGTGAGAGTGCCGACTTTGATTAATTGAGACGAGTTTCTTTCCTGGCAGTTACGTTGGTTACTTGCAACTGGGGGTGGCTTCTTCTCTCGCTTTCTGTGTTGGGACCGCGTGCCAGGGAGATATTTTTTTCCCACACATGCTTCTACTGTTGCTCTTTTTCTGTTTCTGTGTCGTGAGTGACACTGTGAGACTGTGACACTGTGAGAGCGACTACTTTTTTTTTGTCGCTGGTCAAGTCAAATACTTAATGCCTAAGCTAACTGTGACACCCAATCGCCCACTCCTAAACTTGCTTTTTGGTTTTTCTTTTTCATGCACATCTTGTCTTTTTCTCCCGATTTTTACTGGGCCCGCGGATTTTATTTTATTGCAAAATGATAATTGTGGTTACCAAAAATAAATACAAACTGCCAAACTGGCAACTTTTATGGTTCCGTTTTTTTTGTAATACTTGTTGTGTTGTGTGCGATTTTTTTTTTATTTTTTTTATTACATTAGTTGATTTGACTGGTTTAAGTAAGGGAAGGAGTTTATTGAAGTGTATCTGTAAATAAAATGACAATAAATGAAAGGTTAAATGAAGTTCTTGATCTCGTTGGAACGGGGAGTGATTCCGGTTCTTTCCTTTGAAAGAAAAAATATTTAATATTTTCTCTTTGCTATAAGCGTAATTTTGATTATAAAATGCATATTAGTAACGTCGATTTTTATAATTTTGCTAATATATAAGATTTATGTCGATGCGAGTTTATTAAAATCTAACGTAAATAAGGATGTAGATTAGAAAACAAAGAAAGTGTTGAGGTAGAATTGATGTATCGGTCGAATGTACTTTTTACTCAATATTTTATCTTCTATACGTCTACTATTTGGACTCTTTTCTTTTTTTTTATCATTTTGATAATCGTTAATTTTTTGTTAATAATATTTATGTGCCCCACCTTCGAATACGTTACTAAAAGATGCGAGTAATTAGAGTCTGATTTGAAAACAAACACTTAAGAGGCTCATTGATATCTTCCTTTCTGTTCCTGATCCCCTCTCGCTTCTAGCTGTTCGATGGATTTTTTTCTCCTCTCAGTATCTGTCAAAGTTATTTTTGTTTTGTTGTTTGAGCTTCGAACATCAATTTTCTCATGCCCAAATGATAAAACATATGTAAGCGCTATGTGCACATTAAAATGTATCTCTTATATGCTTCAATTTAGGGTAAAATGAATTTAACATTTAGATAAATCCTTTTATCATACTATTTATGGATGCATTTATTTTTCAAAAATTCTAAAATGGTAACCATTAATTATAAGTAACAATGGAGAATGTGGCGGAAGTACAATGAATCGTGTTTGATGCGAGACAAACGGTGCTCATTCCTGTACGAGCAGCTGATCGACAGATACCAAAATTGCCTGCATGTCAGAAGGAATGATTGGAGGGGCCATTTGGCTTGTAAGATTCCAACCATGGAATAAGTTCGGTCTTATTGAATTTTTTTTTTCATTAATACTTCTAAAAAATTAAAATAAAATAAACTTCTCTAGAAACTAAAATTAACTTAAAGAATTTTTCTCATATTATTTTCTCCAAAATATGTTCTTTTATTTATGTATAAATTTAAATTATTTTAGTTTATAGTGATGGTTATTTCATCTTTCTCTTATTTTTTTTTCTCCATAGTGTACTGTAAAAAAAATTATCAAAACAAACCCAAAGTCTCTTAATGGAGTCAGTGGATTCAAGCAGGCAAAAAATGTAGGTGTACACCGCTGGCAAAGCTGCTTATCATTAACTGAATGTAATTACAATGGGAATTTTTTTTACATACAAAATTATGAAAGAAAAATAAAACATTTCTTGGTAAAATTACAAGATCACCTAATCAAACAATTTTGTGGGAACAACAAAGGTGGAGTATCCTTGCCCTGCGTTGGAAATCAGTATTCTTAAACCTGAATTAAAGAGATATACAATTGACACTGCAACCAAAAGACATAAACCAAGAATTAGTTTGACCACGTGGTTAGACACATGATCAACAGGGGCACAAATACAATAATGACAACACGATAAATAAATAAATAAAAAGATCAGTTGCAACTGCAATTCAGCGTGATTTATAAAAAAGTTAACAAAAAACTGTGCGCTTCATTCACCTTACCCATTGCACAACCAAAAATTGAGAAACCACGTTCAAGCTAGATTTAGAGCTAGCAAGAAGATCATTACGGAATTTGGTACGTACCTAGGACAACTAAAACAGTGTAATCTTGTTAGACATCAAGACCAATAAAATCCTGTCATATGTGCATGAAAAGCAACTTGGTGTTCCAACCATTCAGGTTAGTGGCATGTTCGGACGACCAGGTTGAGGTGTTGGGGGTTTGAGCAATGGCCTCAAAGAATCCATAATACTCGCAAAAGAAGGTCGTTTCCAAGGCTCACTACAATAAACCAAGTATATCAATAAAATTTTTTGAGTTGTGACAATACTGAAGTGGAATACATAAAGGCAGATGCTTCTGAACTCACCTGGCCCAGCAAGCCTCAATTAGTGCAGCTACTTGGGGATTCACATCACGTGGGATCTCAAGCCGTTTTCCCTTGAAGCCAACAGCAGCCACAACCTACAGGAAAATAAGCATTTTTTAATATTTAAGTAAAATAAATAAACATGAAGTAAAAACTTTTAATATGTGAAGTAAAAATGCGGAGTCTTGATTACACTGAAAAACAGAAAAAACATCTGAAGAAAAAAAAAATTGCACATAGATGCAGCAGGTATGCAGAACCCTACACCCAAACCTCTCCTTAAACCTCAAGTGCCTCTCTCTCTCTCTCCTCTCATTCCGTCACTTTATCATTCCTCTCCCTTGCATTTTGGTGTTATACTAGAATTCCATTCTTTTTTATTCACTCCAGGAAGCCCACTCCTCTTCCATTTAGAATAAACTTGGGCCAAAGGTCTACCTATGTGCATGAAATTTGCACATGCAACCAAAGCATGCATAATATATCAATGATTGACCACCGTGAAACAGGATAAAACTAAAAAGTCAAAAAAAAAAAAAAAAAAAATTTCAGCCACAACCTTAAACCTTCAACCATACACCCATCATCATTGGCTTGCCTTGTCCAATACATGCTTCAACCAATATACATTTCTTGCAATCATTTTTGGATTTCTATTCCCAGCCACACATTTTCTTATGATAATTCACTTAACAAGTTTCATAAATGCTGAAACAATATAATTATAATAGAACTAAAGATGTATTAAGCATAAATAGACTGCAATATCATGTATCATAGCTATACAACAAACCTGTGCTGGATTTAAATTAACCCAGGGTTGTTGCAATGTTGCAAGCTCCCATAAGATTACACCAAAGCTGTAAATATCGGACTTCTCATTTGATGGCTCGTCGCGAAGAACCTCTGGAGCCATCCACTCAGGCTGAGGGAGGAAAAGGAGAAAATTAAATATGCAGTTACAAAACTTACTACTGAAACATAAGATGTACAGAACAGATATATCTGTACGCAATGTGAACTTACAGTCCCAGCAGCTGACTTGGATGAGAGAAACGTATTGGCCTTCAGACGTGAAAGCCCAAAATCACAAACCTATAAAGAAGGCATTATCATTTAGAGGGGGAAAAACATCTATTAATCATTAATGTCCAACAATACAGATCAACTCCCCCCAACCCTCCCCATCCAAAAAACCTCCACAATTTTTTTCACCAACACACAGAAAATGTTGTTTTCATATTAAAAATGGCTTTTCAACAACATTTCAAATTTGCATCAAAACAAGCAATACTAACAGAAGGCTGAAACCTCTATCAGTACAGAGCATGTTTTGCAAAAACTCAATCTTCCACCAGTTTACTGAAGATCCAGATCAAACTAAAATATCAAAGTATTACTAGAATGTATCAGGAAAAAAGTATCGATGACTATTTAAAGAAAAACCAATCAAATCAATAGTTTATTCATGTGGCTCCATCTCTCCAAAAAATCTAGAAAGAGCTGTCATACACTATGTGGAAGCTAGATGTGTCATTTTCCTTTTGGGATTAAGAGCAAATTCCAAGGAACAGGTGGGGGAAGAAGGTTGCTCCCTCCCCAGATCAAACATTGATAGCAAGGTATTCTGGCCACCTGAGCAAATATAACATCTTACTACATTCAAGCTATGCTAGAACAAAAAGATGTGAACATTGGTGACTAATTATATAGGCTTGTATTGGTGCAAGACTATTTGCAAGAAAAGTAGAATCATACTGTCATTGGTGACAAATAATTTATATGAAACTCTTAAAGACTCTGTATTCGATATACTGGAGAAGACTTCATTCTTACCTTCACAGTATATTTCTTGTCAACAAGAAGGTTGGGAGATTTCAGATCTCTGTGAACAATTGGGGGATTACGTTTATGTAGATAATTCATCCCCTTTGCCTGCAAATGATAAAATAAAACATTGTTAATCAAAGAATACAAAGATTCCGACATTACCAATTCAAAAATTGATAAAAACCAGAGACAATAGACTTTATTTTCTAAATACATACCACATCATAAGCCATACTAAGCCTACGCCTCTCATCCAACACTTCCTTGGCACCAGATCTATGCAACAGTCTATATAAGCTACCCCTGCACTTAGGAAAAAATCTCTTACAATCTCAAGGTCATAATAACCTATAATCCTATAGCCTTGAATTTTTTCCCTATTTTAGGGAAAAAGATGACAACAGGTAGAGGAATACAACCTTGATAAATATTCCGTAACAATTGACAAGTTAGGAGGCTGAGTGACTGCCCCCATAAACAAAACAATGTTTGGATGCCGCAAACGTTTCATTATTGCAACCTACCAAGGGAACAGAAAACACAGATCAAATAAAAGCAAGCAAATATCTGAAAAGCACACAAATTAGGAGTCTAGGACTATCAACTGTCGAGCATACCTCCCTAAGGAATTCCTTAAAGCGCTCAGCATGAAAATCCTGTTCCATCAAAATTTTCACAGCAACATCCTGCAATTGATGATATGTTTTGAGGGATGTAAGAACAAAAAACTAAGACAAAAGAACATAAGCCTAAAACATATGCCACTTTGGCAACATTATTTTAGGCTCCATTTGTTTACAGAAAATAAAATTTTAGATGGAAATAGTTCCATAAGCAAAACATCTTAATTCTCTTGGTGGATTATTTTTTTTCAAATAAGCTCTTCATCTTTTGATGTGCAAGGGCAACTCAATTTGAAAACATTAACAGAAACAATTCAAATAACCATATGCTGACTGCTTTATACAGCATCAATTTAAGAGAGAGGGAGACAGAGAGATTGGCTTACCGAGCCATTCCATTCAGCACGATGCACAGTTCCAAAAGAACCTGAAATACAAGTTACTTTCAATTTAATGACTAATAATACTAATTACACAAACCATGCCACTAGAAGAGGCAACTTATGTTACTAATTCATTAAATACTGAACTCATTTAAGTTAGGATCAGATCTTGATGATTAACTTCAGAAGGTTTGGTAGAAGCAAGGAAAAAAAATTTAGCTGTGGTATTTTTCCAGTGGTATGTGTGATACGTGGTTGGATGTGATATTTTGAATGGTTTTATTTGGTGATTTAATGAAAGCCCCAGGTCAAATGTGCAAATGGAATAGGGAGCATTGTTGCACTAATAAGCTGGCTTCCTTTTTTTGTTTTCTTTTCTACTACTATCATTACTAATGAAAATATTCATCTTACTTTCATATTGTCTTTTCTCTCTCCAATAGCATGTCTCTATTTTGTCCCCAACAACTTAAAAAAAGTTTGCAAATTATAAAGGAGATATACCTGACCCTATTTTCTCTCTTAAAACAAGATCACTCCACGGAATGTCCAAATCCTCCATGTCAAGGGTAAGCTCTCGAGTAGATTTGTTAGGAATCAGTTGACTTCCTTCAACAAACCTCTTGCCCTCAATCATGTCATCATTAGTATTTGGAAATGCTAACGGGGTCGGTATACCAACAGGACGCTTATGCTTTATCGGCGGTGGATACTTTCCCACAGTTGTCAAGTCTACAATGTTCTGAGGAGGGTTACATGATAGATATGTTTCAGAACCTTGTTCATGTGTGCCTGGAGTAGAATCCTGGGGATGCAGAGGAAGGTGAGAACTTCTATTGCTCTCAGTTGAAATTGGCCTAGTGTTATTCCTGTCTTTGCACTTCGCATCAAACTGTTCTGAAATGGAGAATCCAGAATCTTCATTAGAAACAGCTCATGTGATATAAAATTTAGGCTATCCTATACAGGCACCTACTTAAAATTTAAATAACTATCATACATATTGGCATACCAGATGACAAGCAAATCTACAACTATTGTCCAGAATGCAACATGAAAATTTATTCAAAGAACATTTGTTTTAGCAATATTCCAGATGTTGACTTACTCACAAATCTACCTACCTAACATAAAATCAAATATATAGTCACTCAAATTTCATTCTGTAGACAGACTAAATGATATTAACCCATGTTCATCACAATAAATCAGAATTTGATAATGATATTCAATAAACTTGACCAAGTAACTTGGAACTGTTCTCCCAATTCTAGAATACAGAGCCCAACAACATACATGGAACATCATCATATAGCACAAATATCAGTGAAGAATCATGATCTTTTTATTTTTCAGTGACAGTAGGCATCCCTATTCTTGCAATTTCCAAGTTTAGAATAAATTTACTTGTCAACTAATTACAGTGAACGTATGAAAGAGACAAAAATACAGACACCTGTCATCTAATATCTTGGTGCTTATAAACTGATTAAAGCAACAAATGGATAGAGTTCAATTCAAATAACAAAGCTGTAGTATAACAAACTACCATATTTGGTAGAAAGCAAATTAATTATGGAGTGTGTTAGGAACCACAGGTTAAACACCAGAAACTGATAGTTTTATTCTCTGAAACCAGCTTAATAAGCTATTACAAGCAAAAAATACTCCAGAGCAGAAACCTGCCCCTTGGAGAAGTAAGCTTCGCTGCCTACAATTCACACCAAAAGCAATTGCAAAAACTAACTCCTCACTTCCTACACTCCACTCCTTGTAATCTTTCCCCTTATCCGGAATCTATGGTTCTATGCCAGTAAGCAACTAACTCTTCCAACTCAGATAACCAAGCCTAGGGACCCACTTTCTTTTTCCTAACATGAACCTTAAAAATCTTTGGCCCCTTTGGATACAAGTCCAATACTTGACCCTGAGCCTCAACCCCTATCAGAGAGTAACTAGCTTAAAGCAAATGATTTCATCATTCATTAAAAAAAATGGGAATTAAAAAAAATAAAAATAAAAATCTGGGGCACCTGGATATTAAATTCTTAATAAATGCAATAACAGACCATTAGTAGATCTTTCAAGACATGTGTAAACAACAATATCACACACCCAGATTTAGAATATCATAAATTATTAGGAAGTATGAATATCACCTGCAGAACTGTTGTCGAAGACAAGCTCAAGAGACAGATTGTCTGAGAAATACTGTTTGGCCAGCGACCTGAAATCAATGGTAGGGTCCGCTGGTTTAAGTCGTGGAAAGCGCAAGGGTGAAGAAAATGAGATGGAAGATGGACCATTGAGCAAGGAATCAGGCTCGGATAAGCTTCCTGGCTTTCCAATTAAATCAACAAGATATTCCCTGTAATTAGAATATTAGCCTATGTCAGATAAGAGGTGTCAGGAATATTACTATTAAGAAACATATTTAAAATGTCAATATACATAATGTTCACAGAATGTTAACCACTTATATAATGTCCTTTTACAATTTTGCATTTCCATGGTCATCATAACTTATGGAAACTAATTTTTACATTGCAGCTCTATTAATAAAAAGAAAAATATATTTGCTACTGCTTAGCAATAAAGTACATACCTCTCAAGCCCAAATCGAACAAGACAAGATGCTGCATCATCCCTTTTGCAATATTTACAGCCCTTTGCAATTCGACATGGCAAATCGATGGCATCAGCCAATACCTGAAAATATTGAAAATAAAGCAAGACATTTAAAAAAAAAACAACTTAATACAAATATCTGCACTGAACCAGAAAACAAAAACAAGTCAACGTGCATAAACATAGCCTTAACCTCCCAAAGAAAAGTAGAGCCTTACTTTGAATAATACAGCACGATGCCTGCAGAGGCCAACAGATAGACTACCTATGGGAATAACAACAGATCCTAAGCAATCTTTCAGATCATTACTGCAATCCCTCCAGATGGAAAAAAAATTATCTTCCCCAATAGAAGCTGAACCCCTTGTTATTATAGCAACAAAGCACAGTTAGACTACACGACCAAACAAAAAGTTAAATAGGTCAAACCAAGAATGCCAAGGAGGCTCACCCCATACGGTTGCAAATCAGCTTCGAAAGCTGATCTACAACATCTGTTGTTGTTATGCTGCTACAAGAAATGCTATGAACTCTATTTTGAAGATCTCTTAAGCTGGGGTCACTGCGTCGATCCACCAAAACTACTTCAAGTGAAGAAATGATGCAGGGATTCACAGACTTCAGTGTATCAACTGATGGAATTCGGCCATTTTCATGCAGATCAGTGCATACGGTCCAGACATAGGAATCCATCCCATGAATTAGGTAAAAGCCATCTGGAATTTTGTCAGAGTATGACAGGCAGCCATTCACCTGGTGCACAACATTAACAAGACCCAAATCAATGGTTGCATATGTACAAATAAGTGCAGCACGTCTGTCATAATGAAACAACTTCCAGTTTCCTCCCTCAACTTTCAGGGAAAACAAGAGAAAATATTAAAAAGAAAAATGGAGTAGAATAAAGAGTGCTGGGATATTTTTCCTATTAAACTTATTTCATGCAACAACCAAGAATCAAGTTTCAATTTCATCTCTTCAGAAATTATGACTATACTTCTTGGCAGCAATTTCCTCAAGTATGACCAAGTACATTCTGCTCCCCCAGCAATAATGCCAAAATATAAATTAAAAATTTGAAGATTCTTAATTACATTTTCCAATATTGAACTTTTATGCAGTGCAACAATGAGAAAAATTATTAAAGAATGCGAAATATGGTAGACACACAGTGAGAAGATACCCTGCCCAGAATTCAAAGAAAACAGCACACAGTTTTCCCAAGAAGCAGATGCCAAGGGGGAGGGGAGTAGAAGAGAAAGAAAAAAGGAGCCTGATACCCATTAGACTTCAACACTTTAATTCAAAACCCAACCGTCCTTTCAGACAAACAACACAATTCTATAAGAGGATAAATTTTTAGATAGTCTGGAACCACCATGGAGATAAACAAAACACAATCTCTATGTAACATGCAGTTGAATTTTTCAATTTAAAAGAGAGAATTAATAATACTTGACTATGTGTCATGTGGAGATTAGCCGAGACGTGATCCTGAACCATGAAATTCATAATACAACTCCTCCAATCACTCACAGCGAAGGACCAACCAGTCTGGATGAACTTCTAAAAGTTTATAATCAACCACAATTTGATTGATCGATCAACTACAAAACCTATGTAATTCAACGGTTCCTTAAAAAAACATATCAATCACAGAATGACAGCAGCTTCACCTCATGCTACATTACATTGCACTTAACCAGGCTTATCAGAGTCAAACTACACCTATGTCCACTCACGCTCCCTAATCACTTCCACTATCAATTCATCAACACACGAGTTCAAAAACACCTCACAGCAAAATCCATCAGCATAATTCACAACCACAGTCCAATCCGAGCCACGTAAACAAAAAAGCACAACGATCAACGTACCCAGAACCTATGCGAAACCGCCTCCGCGGACGACGAGAGCCGCATAGACGAATCGTCCGGCACCGGATCGAGGAAATTGGGATCATCGGCGCACGTGGCGTCCGACGACAACCGCAGCGCGAGCGCAAGCTGCAGCTGATAACTCTCCTCCGTCTGCTGCGCCCAGCTCTTCCCGGAGGAGCCGGAGATCCTCGCCGGCGCCTCGGAGAACTTGCTCCGCTCGTCATGGAGGTAGCCGAAGGCGTCGACCTCGCTGGCCGCCGCCGTGGACAGCGTGGGAGCGTAGAAGTCGCCGCCGCCGGAGAGCGAGCTCTCGCCGTAGCTGCTCCCGCTGGACTGCCTCTGCAGGCCGATCGAGGAGTACAGGTTTCCGATCCGGTTGGTCCCCTGCTGCGCCGCCCTGTGATCGGCGACGAGGTCCCAGTCGAAGGCGCGGTCCGCCTTGCCGCCGCGGCCGTTCTTCCCGTCGCCGGAGGAGGACGGCGCGGCGGGGCCGGAAAACTGGTCGTCGGGAATTTGGCTGAGGAGCGAGTAGTTGGATCTTCTGGCAGGCATTTCCATCGCAAGCTGTTCACAAAACCCTAAAACTCGCCATTGGTTTTTGCGAGGTTTCTGTTTTACTATTCCTCTCTCTCTCTCTCTCTCTTTTTCTCTTTCTCTCACTTTCTCTCACTAGAACTACCACCAGGTAACTGTGTTAGTGTGTTGTATCAGTGGGAATGGTTGAATCAATGAATCCTCTCTCTCTCTCTCTCTCTGGAATTCGATTGTCGGAGAGAGAGAAATCAACGAGCACAGGCCTTTTTTTTTTAATCGGTGACGCAGTCGTAATTATTTCCCTTATTATTTTTTAGCAGTTTGGTTTATTATAATCATACGAAATAGGTGTAATCATTTATTTCTTGAAATTCCTTCACAAAGTTAATACAAATAAATTATTTTTTAAATGCTTTTTGAAAAGATAAAACACAGTCGCGTTGTAGATTCATAGCATCAAGTGGATCAACTGAGATGAATTGTTGCCATGAATCACTGCTCTCAACTTTAAATAATTCTAAATACATAGTTATTAAATGTTCATAATTAAAATTTGTCATGGATTATTACGTCATTTTGTTTAATAATAATGGCTTTTTGTATAATCAATAACAAAATGCGTTTAATCAATGTATAATCTATCTATTTATTTTAAATAAAAGTATAGAATAGTTGAAAATATTGATGGATATGCTAATAATAATAAGGCTATGTTTTTTTTCCTCCACCGCCGGCCTATGTTTATCTCAAGTTGTTCTTAGCGAACTGCTCCATCCAATTCGCAGACGCTGACTTTTTCGGTATTTGGCTTTACTACGTAAGGTGTATTTATTTTATTTATATTTATAATCTATAATATTTATAAAATTGATAATATAATTTTATGAGCAGAATTTTTTTAAAATAATATTACTTTTATAACAATATTCTAATTATTTTATTTTTTATTTTTTATTTGATTTATATTTTTCAAGACAATATTACCCTTTTAAGGTATATATATGCATATGCGAGTGAAATACATAATGGATGAAATTTATTTTTACAACGGAAATAATTCTTCATTGTACTATAAAGAATGTCAACTTATCATACATGATGAAAATGAAATTTCATTGTTGTGTATATGAGATTTAATACACAATAAAAACCTATTTTATTGAGATGTACTTTTATTGTGCGTACATAATAAATAAAAATATGTTATTGTCATATATGTTCGTAAAAAGAAAAAAAAAAAAAAAAGCAAAACAGGGATGAAAAAGGTCAATTTGATTCAGGTATGGTAGTGTGGATATAGTTGACGACAAAGTCTTATTTAGATGAATTTAAATATATTTTAGTTAGGAAAATTAATTATTTCGGTGTTTGATTCAAACATTTATTTAATCAAAAGTAGTTGAATAATTGAATATTATTATTTTTTAATAAATACTCAAAGGTTATATTTAAAATATTTTTTAATTTATTAATAATATAAAAATATTTCTTCTAATACTATATAAAAACTAAATTATTTTAAATGAAAATAATTAAAATACATTATCTAACAATGTTTCTTTTATCATGGATTATTATATAATTAAAAAATATTAATTTTATAATAATTAATTAAAAATCTATTTAAGTGATATTTAATTAATTGATTATAAAAAAATTACATTGACGATGTATCAAAACTAAATTTGTTTAAAAAAAATAAGTAAAATACATAGAGAGATTAGAGATTTATTACACTCACATTCAAATATGGGTCATCTTATAACAGAAAATAAATAAATATTTTTTGTTGGGATAAAGTGGGATTAACTTAAAATGCAATTTAAAAACTGCACAGAAATATGGTTAAAGACAAATCTGCTAAAAAAAATGGAATATAAGAAAGAAGGTACAAATTCAAAAAGCTTCACATTTCCATTTAAGAAGTGGCTGAACTTGGACAATTCATCAACAAAAGGTTCCCTTCATGGAGAGAATGCTTCCACATAAACAGACTACCATTGTTTTCAAAGAAGTCAATGCAGTGGACAATATATGAGCATGGATGAAGCTGGTTACAACCACTTGTGAGTAAATTGATGGCTACCTTTGAATTTGATTCAACTATAATCTCCTTAAAACCCATTTGTTAGGCTAAAGAAATGTCCAGGTAAATGGCCCATAATTTTGTCTAGGAACAGAGCATACTCTAATATCAACTGCATAAGCAAACAAATATGGCCATTCGAGTCCCGTAGCACGCCTCCAATAGCAGCTCTTCCCGATTGCTTCTCTATTGAAGCTGTTGAGAAATTATCTTATAATTTAAATTTTAAATTAAGTATTTAATTTTATTTATTTATTTTTTTATATTCCACCGTTCCAAAAACTAAAATAATTTAAATTTTAAATTAAATATTTATACACAACAAATTCATTTATCTTTCCCTCAAAATTATTTCTACTACCAAAATATATTTTTTGAAGTTGTGTTCTTTGGTTTGGGGATCTTTCGCTGTACGCAAATGGTCTAACGGGTTGACGTATCTTGGGAGAGGAGCGCACTATACGACTCAAAATTACTAGTGTAGTGGAGGCGTTTTCTCTCTAAAGATAGCACTCTGCGTGCTTCAACCTAGGTTACTCTAATCTTATTATTTAATATTTTAATTTATTCTTTGTGTTTTATTAGTTGTTACTGATTATTTTGTTTTTAATTTTATAGTATTCATTGTGTTGTTGATATTGGTCTTATTGATAAATCTAAATGTTTATTTTTTTGTACTCTATTAAATTTATGTCTAACAATCTTAGAGAGAAAATTTCTTTTATTGTTCAATATTAACATGTCTGTTATGGATATTTTAAAGTCTTTGAGTAGTAAGCCAGAAAAATTTAATGGTGAAATTTTTTATGTTGGCAACAACAGATGGAATTTTGGTTTACAGAGTTGAGTTTATTTTCTGTTATTTAAAATGATAAATCTGAAAAATGTTTTGATTGTGCCTTGGTTGAAGCAAGTTCTTCTGATGATACTTATAATAATAAAGATGTTTTGTGTCATGGTCGTATTTTGAATGCTTTATCTGATAATATTTATAAAATATTTTGTCATACAAAAACTGCTTTAGAGTTATGGGACGCTCTTAAACTAAAGTATGATTTTGCTTAAAAGGGTTTAAGAAGATACTCTTATGAAAGAATGATTTATTTTCAAATAGAAGATGGAAAACCTTTCTCTGACCAAGTTCAGGAATTTGAAAAATATTATTTATGATATGAAGATGAAAGAAATTACTTTGCCTAACATAATGCTTGTTAATTTGTTAATTTCTAAATTGTCTACTTCTTTGGTCTGAATTTGCAAGAAGCCTTAAGCATAAATCTGATGATTTCACTTTATCTAATTTATTGGTGACCTTGCAAATTGAAGATAAGCATCGTATTTCACAAAAGGATTCTCGTAAACCCCTTTTTCAGGCTAAGGCTCATTTAGTAGAAAACGCTAATAAGCCTAAACAAAAAAATTTCAAAAAAATATGATTTTTCCAATAATAATAAATTTGGTCAAAGCTTTCATTTCTCTAAAAATAAAAACAAGGCTTTTAATAACAACTACAAACCAAAGAGTAAAATTCAAGGAACTGAGTCCTTCTGCTTTGTTTGTGGAAGAAACAATCATTTTGCTAAGGATTGTTTTTATCGTCGTCGTCAACCAAAAGACCTTACATCCGATCCCAAATCATCATCTCAGCCTCAAGCTAATGTTATTACTGCTAATGCTAGCTCGGATTCCCCATCTAATAGGTATCATGTCACTAGCCCAGAGTTAAATTTTATTTATAACTCAAATGATTGGTGGATTGACTTTGGGGCTAATGTTCATGTGTGTGCTGATAAAAAAAATATTTTCTTCATATCAGGAATGTGGCACAAGTACTGTAAGCATGGGGAATGGGAGCCTAGCACGCATCATTGGTCTAGGCCGAGTAGAATTAGAATTATCTTTGGGAAATTGTCTTGTTTTAGATAAAGTCTTTCATGTTTCTGAAATTAGAAAAAATTTGATTAGTGTTGCTTTGTTAGTTCAACAAGGTTTTAAAGTTATTTTTGAATATAATAGAGTTGTAATTTCTCAACATGGTTCTTTTGTTGGGAATGATATATTTGTGATATTTTGTTTAAACTTAATCTCATGTCGTTCTTTATTAATAAAAATTATAGCATTTCTTCATCTTCTATTTCAAATGTTGAATGTTGTGACATTTGGCATGGTAGACTTTGACATGCTAACTTGAATTCTATTAAAAGAATGATAACTCTTGATCTTATTCCTAAATCTTTTAATGAATTGAAACAAAAATGTGACGTTTGTGTTCAAGCTAAACAACCTAAACAATCTTTTCAAAATTTTGTCCAAAAGGAAACTTGCTTGCTTGAACTCATTCATAGTGATATATGTGATAGCAATGGTGTTATTACTCGTGGTGGAAAGAAATACTTTATTACCTTTATTGATGACTTCTCAAAATGTTATGTATACTTGATTATTCATAAAGAGTTATTTGAAAAATTCAAGGTTTATAAAAGCATAAGTTGAAAATCAATTAGAAAAGAGTATTAAAATTCTTCGTTCTGATAGAGGAGGAGAATATTCTTCTACTGAAATGGGTGAATTTTTTGACACACATGGCATTATTCATGAAGTCATTCCTCTTTATGCTCCTCAATCTAATGGAATTGCTAAAAGAAAAAATTGTACTCTATTAGACATGATAAACGCTATGCTTATAAGTTTTGGTTTGCCTAATAATTTGTGGGGGAAAGCTTTATTTACTGTATGTCACATTTTGAATAGAATTCCTTATAAAAATTCAGATAAAACCCCTTATGAACTTTAGAAAAATAGAAAATCAAATTTGAAATATCTCAAAGTGTGGGGGTGTCTTGCAAATGTGAATATTCTTATTAATAAGAAAAGAAAAATTGGTCCCAAGACAGTTGATTGTGTTTTTTTGGGATATTCTTTACATAGTACTACTTATAGATTTTTAGTTATTAATTCTAAAGTTGCTAAAATTTCTAATAATATAATTATGGAATCTAAAGATGTTGTTTTCTTTGAAAATAATTTTCCTTTGAAGAATAAATTGTCTAAACCTGTTTATGATACTTCTAGCTCTTTTTTACCTTCTAGTAGCATTGTTAACAAGGATTTTGAACCTAAAATTATTAAAAGAATTAGAAAAGCTAATTTTGGTCCTGAATTTTATTCTTTCTTACTTGAAAATCATCCTAAAACGTATAATGAAGCTATGAGATCTGTTGACGCA